CCAAAAAAACCCAGCCTTTCCTCATTACCTGGAACTTTGACTATTATACCGAATTCACCTCGATCTTCTTTCAATAAATTAGCCTGAAAAATAGGTGGACCAATCTGAGTCCAATGTAGTGGAGAGACCCTGAATACCTTGTAAAAAAAAAAAAAAATAAAAAAAAAAAAAAAAAAAAAAAAAACACGAAAACAACCCAGATCATCAAATGAGCTCTTAATGTTACTTGTAAGTCATACATTTCCCATGTCCCTTTGCTTTCTCATGCTCAGTGAACCTTCTTTTCCCCCAAATCCTAGTACACTCTTCTTAGCACATGATCTTATTTAATACTTCACTGAAAATCTTATAGAAATATTGTATTAAAAAATTAAAGTTTTGGGACCGGGGAGATGGCTCAGTAGAATAAGCGCTTGATTGGCAAACGCAAGGATCTGAGTTCAATCCCCGGTTCCGCCAAAAAAAAAAAAAAAAAAAAAAAAAATTGAAGTTTTGACCATCAAATCTGTACCAGCACTGGTATCCATAAAACTATTTACCTCCTGTACTTGTATAAAATTCTACAACTCTCTCTCAAAAGATCTCTCTAGCAATTCTTTGCCATTTCTTTCTTTTTTGGTGCCAGGGATCAAACTTAGGACCTTGAGCTTGCCAGGCAGGTGTTTTAGCCACTGAGCTATCTCCCTCATAAACTTTTCTGCGGAATCACGACTGTTTACATACAAATATGCTACCATTTTACTAGCTTAAACAATTCTGAATTCCATTTTTGTCTTTTGATCTCCTGTAAACCCATTTCAAACTCATCCTACCCCACCAAAACTGCTCAAGGTTACTAGTAACTTTTATACTGTTAAGTCTAGCAACCAGTTCTCAAATCTTCACCTTACTTTACTTATAGGCTGCATCTGATACAACTGACTACCCTTTGAAGCACTTTCTCTGCTTCAGTTTCAGAAATCCACGATTCTGCTTTTTGGTTTTCACTGGCTTCTCTCCTCCAAGACCGCTTAAAAGTTGGGGAGCTCAGGCACAGGGTCGTACTCTTCCCTCATTTAACCGGTAATTTGCTCTAAATGTTTACTCATGTTGATGACTTCCCCTGTGTCTTCCAGCATCCCTCTCTAACTCTAGGTTTCTCATGACTACCCAACATTTCCACGAGGTTTCTAAAAGACATTTCAAAGTTAGTATGTCCAAAATTGAACTCATCTCTTCCTTTCTGCCCCTAGGTAACTTCACCTTCTGCTTCTTTGCCGCCAAAGTTACTCATGCCCAAAATGTTACGGCTGCATTTCCCTTCTTCCTCATGCCAGATTGGTCATCAAACACTATTTTGTTGCACCTTCAAAACATATCCCTTTTTACTCCCTTGCGCTAAGTTACTAACTCTCACTGAATCATCACAAAACCTTCCAAACGGAATCCTGGCTCCTCAGTCCATTTCCAACACAGGAGCTACAGTAATTACCTTAACATTTAAGTGAGACATGGCACTGCCTTCTGTGGCTTTTCATCTTGGTTGGAGGAAAAGTTAAATGTCCAGTGCCTCACCTGGGAACACTCTTCCCTTCTTTCTTCTCTTCCTTCTTTTGCCCCCAGTATCTCTCATATTTGACCTAATTTTCTTTCATTCTTCAGCCACATATGCTTCTTGCCCTTTGGACTCCATAAGGCCTTAGCATTAATCCGTCCCTCTACCTGGAACACTCTTCTTTCAGTTCTACACGATTCATTTCCTCACCTTCTACTCTTCATTCACTTATTACCTGCTCAGTGAGGCCTTCCCTAACCACTCTGTTCTATCCACACTCCTGCTTCTCTAGCACTCCTAGAGAAGGCTAAACCAGAAATGTTCTTCTCTCTCATTTTTGGTTCATGGCACTTTTTCCTCCCCCAGCAGTCTTGAATTTTTTTTTAAATATTGAGACAACATCTCACTAAATCACTGAAGAGTCCAGCTCAAATTTGCATTCTCCTGCCTCAAACTTTTAGAGTACTGGAATTATAGGCATGCACTTTCAAGTCCAACATTTCATATTACATATTATCTATTACAACGTTCTATATTACAGCATCTATTTTGCTTAAAGTCTGCTTATCCTTCACTTTCCTAAAGTAGACTCTGAAAGCATAGATTTTTTGTGTTTTGTTCACTCCTGTATTCCAAATACTTAGAACAGATAAATGAAACGGAAGGTGTGCAATAAACTTTGATCCGATATGTTCAACTATTCTACTTATGCCATTAAACTCTTTACCTTTTGGTCTCAAATTAACTCCCTTTTCCAAAATATTTCATTTTTGTGGTACTGTTATTCTAATCTCAGGCCAATAACCAAGAAGTCATTTTTGAACTTCTCCCTTCAAGTCTTTCTTTGCTTATCTGTAAACATTACTTCTTCCTCTCACATATCTTTTCCTTATCATTTACATCATAGCAACTCCAAGTTTAGGTTTTCATTATGACAACCCAGTTATTCACCTTGCTCATCTAGCTTCCATAGTCCGCTGTACATTTCTATAACCTGAAATAATTCAATAATCATTTAGTAAATACTAAGTGGTGCTTTTTATGTGTTCACCACTATAGGAAAAGTGTTGGGGATATAAAAATGAATAAGAAGAAATTATTAACATCAAAGAGTGGATTGGAAACCATAAAACTTGCATCCAGCTTATCCAAATTTCTGTGACCTTTCAAGAAAATAGTATATAACTACAGTTACCAATCATCCAATTACATCTTACCCAAAGTTTCAAAACATAACTGTATCAACCACAAAATCTCTTTATTATCTTATTCACCTCCTGTTTATACCTGAGTTTATATTTTTGATAGTACCAGCATCTGGTTCTAAAGCATATTTCTACCCTCTCGCACTTGCAGCTATACTGTAACTTTCTAAGTGAAGGGTGGCAAACTCAAATAGCTCCTATTAACTAGACAGGATGGGAACTAGGATGAATGCAAGCGCATTCTTCCGTCTAAAGGAGATAGGCAGTACACACACACACTCTACATTGCCAAAAAGGAGCTTACCCACTGCTAAGTTACCCCATATTTCAGCAGGCTTGAGATTGCCAAACCTTACATTAGATTTTCTAATTTTTAGACAATGGCAAGTAATTCTTAATGAAGCAAGCAAATTATCAGAGGAATGCACATAAGCAGATGAACACTACCATCTCAGTATGTTTCCACCTTATCTTATGTTTCCTACTAATTTACCTTTCTTTGGATTCATATAAACTTTTTCTGGGAATAGCTGAGCATTTCAGCTTGTTTTTTTTTTTTTTTTTTTTTTGGAACAAGGGATTGAACTCAGGCCCTTGCGCTTGCCAGGAAAGGTCTTATTCCACTGAGCCATCTCTCTGGCCCTTAGCATTTCAGTTTTCTAGGAAATGTTTATATCAGTTTGTCTTAGTCTTCAAAGTATAATACATTGCTTTAACATACCCTGAAAGACTCTAATTTCTGTCGTTTTCTTACTACTAAATAAGAATAAGCAACCTAGCTCAAATTATTTCCCAAATACTTCCTGGATAAGATTAATTTTAATTGACCAAATGAGATTATTTTGCAAAACATTTTTAAAACATTTTTTATACAGCATGTTACTTTTAGTTTTAATTCTATCAGTATTTTTCATAATACTATAAAGACAATGTTGAACACATTATTTAATACTGGCATTTCACAATTTATACAGGGACAAAAATCTGTCAAAAGGAATCAAAGAAAAATAATGTGCTTTTTGTCTTTTTGAGACAGGATTTTGCTCTGTAATTCAGGATGAACTTGAATTCTCTTTGTAACCTAGGCTGGCCTCAAACTCATAGCAATCCTCCTGCCTCAGCCTACACATCATTTAATCTACTACTGATTCTCACATGTACAAATAAATATGTATGAAAACTTTTTCTTTCTTTTTGAGGGGAGATTTGGCTTATGGGGTCCAGGTCAGTCTTGAACTCCTGGGCTTAATCCTCAGGTTTCAGAGTCCCAAGTTCCTGGGACCACAAGTGAGCACAACCACAACTGGTCAAAAATATTCTTAACATTGTATATTTCAACTTTTTGAGGCTATCTTAAGTATGAAAGTTTTAGAGTCCATTATTTTTATAAATTAGTTATGAGACAAAATAATTTCTATTTCCTTCATTTTTCTTCCAATAAGCATAAGAAATTGGGCTGTAACCATCTTTACTTCATATTCATTATGAAGCTTTAAAAAGAATGCAGAAGAGCTTTGGCTAAAATTAGGAAAGCATTTTAACCACGTGTGATAAGATACAGTTCAGCTGTGCTAAAAACACAACAGGGAGATGACAGTAATTCAACTTGTGAGAAATAGGAAACAATTGTCAGGATTGAAGTCACTCAATTGTTTATCTCAGCAGAAGGAAAAAAAAAGCAGCTCTGTTGAGAAAATTCATGAGTAACTTAAAGAAAAGACAGTTCAGCATACAGTTGTGGCACTATTATACTCAAGAGATTTAGAAAGTAACTGAAACACAGAAGACAAGTATTGATTCTGATGTTCATGAAGAGCAAAAACTAAGGAGGAAAAGGGTAACTGCAACTTCTGCAAATATGGGAAAGAGGAGCTCCTTGAAAACAATACAGAAGGTTGTGTCAGTACTTTGAAGTACTAAATGCACAGGGTGACCCAGTTTGCTTTAACATGACACATAAATTAAGATAAACATCATCTGAGAACACATTATACTAAAAAGGAAAAAAATCCTAAGGTACAATATCCATGTGTAGTAGACACAGTGTGGTAATGATTCCACCAAAAGTCCAAGAACTTATTATGGGACTGAAAGGATCTCCAGGCGCCCTGAGTTCATTAAAAAGACAATAAATCTTCACAGGTGTGGTGACTATAACAACTCTGTTAAGGACATAAATAGGAAGAAGAACAGGTGGAAGGAGAATAGAGGACTGAGTAAGAGACAAATCATTACAAGTAGCTTTTCATCTAGAAGTTTGAAAAAGGACACTGTACTTCATAATGTGTCTTAAGTACAAGAGGTAAGTTGGAACATTTTAATAGGTAAAAGAGAGGATATCATTTTCAATCTGTGTTCCGTGATTAAGAGTACGCAAGGTTTTAGACACCTATAATATTCAATAACGGAACTTAGAAAAAATGGGGTATACAGATGAATGTCCGTTTTGTATCTGTGTATTCAAAGTGGTTAGGATAGATATATAGTGGCATTCTCTTAATGAATAGAATGATTTGTTCTAATGGTGTTTGTAAATAGAAGCTCAAGTCCAGATCTTGTACAGCAATTAACCACTAAGAAGAATATATGCAGTGTGTTATCTGTTTAAACTGTACTTCCGATTTGATTTGAAACTGTCTCATTGCTATCTGTTTATCAATAAAATTTTGAAAAAAAAAAAAAAAAGAGTACTCAAGGAATCACGATATACTACATGGTAGTCCCTGTAGGGACTATGGTAGTCTGTAAAATTCCCCTATCTCCTCCTTAGAGGAAATAGTCCCAGAATATTTGAAACTGAAGGTAGGACCAAACCCCACTAACAGGCCCTGTGATAACTACTGAGATGGCTACTGAATGGATGTGAACACACTGGAATGATTCCCATCCCTGGCAGGACAGAGTGAGATTTCATCACACTACTCCAAAGGATACATAGTTTAAAAAGGAATTAATTATTTCTGGAATTTTCCATTTACTATTTCCAGACACAACTGACCATAAGTACTAAAAACACAAAGCAAAAGCACAGAAAATAAAGACTAATGTATACATATAGAAAAATAATTAAAAGTAGCTTACAGAATTTCTCTGATGTACTGAATCAACTTTCCATTTTGATTAAACCAAGAAGAAATAACAAAGCCATAAAGGACTCAGAGTTGAAGGGAAAATGCTACATCATCAAAAATAATTCTCCCTACAGATAAAGACTACGATACTGCAGAGGTAAAGGACAGAGCAGCTACAAAGGGAGGAGAAACTCTTGCCAATATTTATCTAAAAAAGAGAAAAAGAAAATAAGGGGGGATTAATATATTTTGTAGAAAAAGGTAGAATGGGCTACTGAGGAAGGAAAATTACTACTAAGTCCAAGTGTAATCTTTTAAAGGAGAAAGCTATATGTAAGAATTTGTTAGTTAAATTTTGGTTTTGGTGTGGGCAAATGGAATTTCAGTATGAAAAAATATTTTTGGTTTTTATTTATTTTTTTATTTTTATTTTTGGTTTAAAGTTTGATTATTTTTAGAGATCTCTAGAACTGCACTGTCTAGTGCAGTAGCAATACAATTTAATTAAAAACAACTGTGAAATTAGAAATTCAGCTCTTCTGTTACACTAGCTACATTTTAAATTGTGTGGACAACTACTTTACATTTCATCTTTATAGAAACTTCTAGATGTTCTAGATAGCACTAATCCAGAGAAGAGATTCTATTAACTAGGCTTTTATGTGACAATGTTGCACTTCTGTGAAAGGACCAGCCTGAAAACAAATTAACCTTTCACCACCATTCCACAGCTCTAAAAAAAAATTTTGATATTTTCCAGGAATTATCTTTAAACCACTGGGGAAAAAACTCCCTGCATTTTACATTTGAAAACATATCAAGTCAAAGTCATTTGGCTTACCTTCATAGAAATGTTTGATTTATGTTCTACAAAAGAAAAAATAAATTACTAATCTGTAAATCAAAAGCAGTCACAAAAGAAAATTTTAATTAGTGCATTAACTTTTTTTTTTTTTTTTTTTTTTAGTGCATTAACTTTTGATCCTGCCTTGGTGCTCCAACTTTTACAGTATGGTTCAATTGCTGTATTTATTTGTATTGCATTTTGTTTATATCAGTTATCTTCCCACAGTAAAAAAAAATTCACAAACAAGTGGGGAGTGGGATGAATACCTTGAAGGAGATGACCAAGTACAGAGTTTTAAAATTAATACTAAACAAGACGGTAGCAACTGGTCTCACCATACATTTAACTTATTCAAACACTATTTTCTTTATATGCAAAGAACATAATTACCTAAGTTTTGTCTATGCCATGCATTAGCCAATAATAATTTCTATATACACATACAAATGATAAAATTATACACGAAATACAATGCATTAAATTTATAAATCTGAATATTTACAATAGTAAATGCTGATGTAATCTGACTTTACTCGGCTAAATGTAAATTTAAATTAGTTTGGGAAAACAGCTTCTTTCAAAGTATTTAAATACCACTCCATTACATGCAAAAAGTCTGAAATGCCTATAACCTTTATGAAGAAATTTAACACTTTAGAGTTCCAATAACATCACATACCATATGGAGATAGTATTAGCTTGGTTTTTCCATCCAGTAATTCCGTTTCAAGCTTTAAACCATCTCTGCAATATAAAAGAAAATTGTAACATTTTAAATAACTAAATATATTCATTTGAACCTTGAAAGTAAATCTGTTCCTTTGAATTTTTGTATGACTCTTGTACATACTGAGGTAGTCTTCATGTAAGATGCTTTTCAATCCAGGAAGGGAAGAGACTACAGGGACAAATTTTTTCTTGAAACTCTTCAATAGTACAAGATATTATTATCATTGTTCACTAGTTAAGCCAGCTATCATATCATCCTTTAAGTCATAAGTAAACTGAAGAAAAGAATGCAGTTACCAAAACTCCTCACCAGGAAAAGAAACAAGTCATATGTATCATTTTAGCAGTTTCTCGTGACTAACACATTCTACGCAGACCTAGGGCACCAGGCTATAAGGACGCCACGAGGTTACTGACTAGGCACAGGGTCCCACTTTAATTTGGATATTTCAAATACACATTCACGTCTACGGACTCTTGTTAATACTACAACAATAAACCCATAATAAATTTTGTATGCTGTGATACTTGTGCTGTGACATGAGATCATACATATATTCTAGCTGGATACTTTATATGTGCATGTCAAAAGCACAAGCATAAAGAAACAGAAGAGGCTGCCCAACAATTGTACATTTGTTAAAGGCCTAACTAAAAAGACTGGAAAACAAAAGCAGCAGTCCATAGAGTAATTCACTGTCTTACTAGAAGGAAAAAAACAAATACAAGTCAATATATATTAAAAGGGACAAAAGTGAAGTCTAAGAGTTGAAATTAAAATTCTAGCAGTCTACTTCATTGAACTATCAAAACAACCCTACAACCCTATGGAACCAGAAGAGACCAAGGGTAGTTAAAGCACTCCTGAGTAACAAGAGCAAAGTAGGAGAATCACAATCTGATTTCAAGTTGTATTTACAAAGACATAGTGATTAAAAACAGCATGGCACTGCACAAAACAGACGTGGGTCAGCAGACCATAACTGAGGATACAAAACAATTCCAGGCACATCCAGCCACCTGAACCTTGACAAAAGGGCCAACAATATCTGCTGGGAAAAAAAAGGAAAAAGCCTCTTTAACAAATGGTGCTGGGCAAACTGGTTATACACACGCAGGAGGATGAAATCTAGAAGCCTGTCTCTTACCTTATGCTAATATCAAATTAAAATGATTCAAAAACATATGAAGACAGAAGCACTGAATCTGCTGAAGACAAAATAGGAATAATTTTTTTTTGACACCAGAAATTGAACTCAGGGCCTCACTCTTGCCAGGCAGGCACTGAGCCCACTAAGCTACATCTCCAGCCTGGACACAGCCATAGATTTTCTGACTAGAACCCCAATGCACAAGGAGTAATACCAACAATCCACAAATGGGACTACATGGAATTAAAAAGCTGCTGTTTAACCAGAGTAAAGAGACAACCTATAGAAAAGGGAAATTTGCCAGCTACTCCTCAGGGGACTAAGAGCTAGAATACATAAAGAACACACACACACACACACACACACACAGGCACTCCCAGAATAAAAGACCCAGTCAAAACAGGCAACTCAAATGAACAGACACATTGGGGCTGGTGAGATGGCTCAGTGGTCTAAAGCACCTACTTAGAACAAGCTTGGCAAAGCACAGGGACCGCGGTTCAATCCCCCAGCACCACATGCCAGCCAGCCCCGCCCCCTGGTGGGCTGAGCTGGCCACACACATACACACATAAATAAATAAAATTAAAAAAAAAAAAAAAAAACAAATGAACAGACACTTCTTATAAGAAGTACATATGTGCACATAATACACCAAAAAAATGTTCAATATCTCCAGCCATTAGAGAAATGCAAATTAAGTCAACTCTAAGGTGTCATCTCAGTTGAGAAAGAATGGCTACTATCAAAACATAAAATAACATCCTGGCGAGGGTGTGGGGTGGGGGGAGGAGGGGAGGAACACCTTACACTGTTGGTGGCAATATAAATTAGTAAAACCACCATGGAAAACATTTCGGAGAGCTCAAGAAACTAAAACTGGAAATTCCATTTGAGCAATCCATTCCTGCTCTAAATATCTTCCCAAAAGAATTAGAGACATCCTACTAAAGTGATACCTGAACACTCGTGTTTATAGCACAGTCTGTAACAGCTATGTCTTGCATGCAGCCTTTGTGTCCACCAACAGATGAGCGGATAAAGAAAATGAGGTATTTATATACAATGGAATACTACTCTGCCATAAAAAATAAATGAGTCACTTATAAGAAAATAAATGTAACGAGATTATATTGAGTAAAATAAAGGATACAGAGAACTTTAAGATCATATGGTTTTTGTGATTGGGAGAAACCCAATATATAAATAATTTAAAGAGCAAAATAAAAGATAGATGAAAGGAAACAAGGAGGTAGACTATGGGGATGGGAAGAGAATCTAGTTGAGGTTTATTTTTTGGTTTTGGTGCCCAGGACTGAACCCAGGGCTTCCGGCTTGCTGGACATTTAGCATTCTACCGAGCTAAATCCCCAGCCTCGGCAAGGGAATCTAGAGAGGGGAGCAGACGCGCAGGGTGGGGACTGAGGGGGTGAAGGGGGGGCTGGGGCAGTACACAAAGGGGAGAAGTAAAAATTCCTACGATGCGATATGTGACACAGAGACAGAGGGACAGTGAGAGCCAGAGACAGACTTTCACAGAAACTGCAAGGTACCGATGCTGCACTCCTAAAGTCCCCGAGGAGCAGACATTTTTAAATTCCCATACTGTAGTAAACACTATGTGCTGAACGACAAGCGGTTAAGTTTGGGTTTGGTGACTTAACTTTCCAACACATTAACTTCTGAGCGATGCCACAGACCTACTATTCAGCCTCTCCTTGAGCTCCTGCTAATACTGCACAGCGACTCCTCGAGACGCCTCGGTTCCTCGCCCCGCAGGTGTCAAGGAAACCTGGGCGCTCCCATACTCTGCGAGCCCCCCAAACGCCAGGTCGCAGAGAACCGGGCGCCCCGGCCGGCCCGGGATGCCTCGGGGAGGCGGCGAGGAGAGCGGTGTGCGAGGTCGTACAGGCCGACCCACGCCCCTCGCCTTTCTCTACTGCGGGGAAACAGGCTCTGCCGCCGCAGACGGCGCAGTTCCAGGAGGCTCCCCGCGGGGGACTCCAGGCACCAGACCACCGCACCCCGTGTTCGCTGCCGACCAGCCGCCTTACCCCAAGTTCATGGCCCGGGTCCGCTCCCGCTAGCCGCTCCGGCACCTTGTGTACGCTGGTTGCCGTCGCCGCCCAACAAGCACTACGCCGATTGGTCGCAGGGATGCCGGCGAGCTGCAAGACGGACCAATCAGAGCCGCGCGTGCTGGCGCGTGCGCTCAGTGGGGGCGGGCCCCAGCGGACCGCTGTGCTGGGCTTTCTCCGCGGTCGCGGTGGTAGCGGTGGCGGCGGTGCTGGGGCTGCTCCGCAGGAAGCGCCGGGAAGTGCCTCCGCATAAGGGGAAGCGGCAAAACAGGAACAAAAGTATAAATGTTTTAATTCACGGTTTCTACACTGTACGTTGTATTTGGGAGAGAGGTCTATTTTAGTACAAAACAATTGGGCCAGAAGGACACCTAGGGCACAGGTTGGGTCTGCCTTTTCTTTCGCGGTGGCCTCCTGGGTCACACGGTCGGCTTTTCAGATGGAGTCTAGTTTGTAGTTGGTCATTTCTCAGTGCTGGGATTGTAAGGGCTGCACCCGCCCTAGGGCAGGCAGCCGGCGTACACAGAAGGCAGGAAAAGAGGCTTGCTCCCACCCGCTTTGCTCTTGTGAAAACTTTAGGCATCTTGTCCCACAGCCTCGCCACCCTGTCTTAGAGCCAGCAGATTATGGACTGAAACCTCTACAATGAGCTTTCCTCCTTAACATTGGATATTGGGTATTTTGTCTCAGCAAGGAGAGAAAAGTAACCAAGACATTATTGCTTAAAGGAGAACTTCTTTTCTTTATACACAGAAAAAAAGATTAATAGGATATTTATGTCTTTAGTACAGGGTCTACAACGTCTCACTACACAGATCAGACTCGTAGTGATCCCTCTGTTTTCAGCCATCCAAGCACTGGGATTACAGGTGCGCGCCATCATGCCCAGTCTCAATCGCAGCTCTGGGGCGGGGCTGACACACACCTTTTGCTTATTACATGTGAGCCAGGAATAGGGAGTAATCTGTCACACACTTATAAACCTTTCCACACTTTTAAGAACTCTTCTAATGTTCTTAGCCATTTTCTAAACTCATAAACCTATGTAATTTTAACACACTGAACATACTGCAAAATCCCTCCATATAGCAAAAAATCCTCCATAAATAATTTAGATTAATATTTTTTGAAAACCCACGGAACAGTGAGTCTGTGAAAATCGAGCCACGAAATAGCAAGGGACAATGTATTATGAAAATATTTGGCTGGCCAAATAGCAGATTAAAGAGCCTGCTTAGGCAGACATAGGGGTCAGGGGTTCCGTCCCTGGTGCGCTGTGCCAGCCCCACCCCTGGGGTGCACTGAGATGGCGATTGAGACGGTGTGGTGGCGCATACCTGTAATCCCAGCGCTTGGGAGGCTGAAAATAGGAGGATCACTATGAGTCTAACCGACCTAGTAAGACCCTGTACCAAATACAAAAAAATTAAACGTACAGAATGACAGAGTAGTGTAATGAGTAGGCATATTCACCTCCATTTGACAGTTGCTGATGTTTGACTGCAATTCCTTTCCTTGTCACCAGCCCCTCTCCCTCTGCACATGGACACCCACAGAGTTCTTTTGAGTGTCATCATTTGTAAGTAAGTAACAAACATCACAATATATATATATATATATATATATATATATAATGGTATGTTCTGCATATCCACAGCACCATTATCACACCTAAGAAAGTTAACAGTCTCATGATAACATATCCCTACTTAATGCCACGTACTTGTCCAAATTATATTTTATGGCTTTTTATTTTGAAAGCAAGTACTAGTGAAGGATTGCATATTACACTTGGTTGTTCTGATTCTCTCTCTCCCTTCCCTCCTTCCCTCCCCCCTCTTTCCCTCCCTCCCCCTTTTCCTCTCTCTCTCCCTCCTTTCTGCCATGCCCTTTGCCATGATCTTCTGCTTTACTATAAACTCCAAAAAAAATGGAGCCGTCTAACCATGGACTGCAGTCTCTCAAAAGAGATTTTATTCTCAAATTTATTTCATTCTCCAAAATAAATCTTTTCTCCTTTTAAGCTTTTAAAATCAGATATTTTATCACAGTAACAAAAAAACTGGCTAATACAGCGCGCATGTGAGTTGTTTCTGCCTTTGGGCTAACTGGGAATAATGTTAAAGTGCAGCCCGAGGGCCAAGTATTGGATTGAATTCCTGGTTGCAGTTGCTTCGCTGTATACCTAAGAGTGGACTTGCTGCTGTATCTAACTGTAATTCTGCGATGAGAAACTGCCAAAGGGTTTCACAGCACTTTGGCCTCTTCCCATTCCCACCAGTGACATATTAGGGTTCCAGTTACTCTACATCTTCCCCAACACTTGTTTTTCCTTTTTAAAAAATTATAACCACCCCTGTGGACCTTAGTCCCAACAGTTGCTTTCATTTACTTTTTTGTTATTTTAAGGGCCTCTTGAGGGATATAAAATATGAGATGTAGTTTGTCCCCTAAAGCCTGTTGTGCTCTGAGGTAGGGCTTTCTTGTTTGTTTCTTGTCTTTTTGAGACAAAGTGTCCCTATGCAGTTCAGGCTGGCCTTGAGTTCCCTTTGTAGCCCAGGCTGGTCTGGAACTTGCAACGATCTCTTGATACAGCCTCCAGAGCACCTAGATTACAGGTGTGCACCACCATACTCGGCCTTCTTTCTTTTTTGGTGTTAGGAGTTGAATTTAGGACCAAGCACTTGCTGGGCAGGTGCTTGTGCCACTGAGCTACATTCCCGGCAAGAGGTAGGGCTTTTGGAAGGTGATTGGATCATGAATTTAGAGCTGAGGGTACTGTTGGGAGGTGGAGCCTAGTCAGTGTCCTGGAGGGTGCAGCTCCCTTCCCTGCTCCCGGCTTCTTGTCACCGCTTCCACAGAAGCAAGGGAGGAGCAGCTCCCCTTCACTCAGAGCCTCCTACCGTGCCCTTCCTGCCTGACTGTGGGCTGAAGATCCAAGCTAAAGTAAGCCTCTCTTCCTTTACGGGCTATGTGCTGGGCATTGTGTCTCAAAGAACAAGAAAATATCTGGGATAGTCCATCCTCTTCCTGCTTCCTACTCCCAGTCTCAATTGCTGTCTCAGTGTGCCCTGGAGGCGGCACCGGCATAGCAGGCTCAGGGATCAAACGCCAGGTCCAGCTTGCAGGCCCTTTAATCTGATGAGCTATTTGGCTGGCTCTTCCTTGGAATCCTTAAATTAAACATTCAGGTCATACTTTGGAGGTGTGGTGGTGCACACCTGTAATCCCAGCACTTGGGAGGCTAACAAGAGGATTAATAATCTGAGCCTGGCCTTGGATATACAGTGCATGTGAGGCCAGCCTCAATTACATGGCAAGACCTTTTCTCAAATAACAACAACAACAACAAAAAAAAAACAGCAAAAAGATGACATTTTGTGGTTTAGAATTTACTATCACACCAGATTGTCCAAGTTGTTGCCAACTTTGAAGATTCAAGGCGGTGGCTGCCCCACTCCGCTACTCTTTGCAATCAGTAACCAATATGGAAAATAATATTTTGCCACTGTGCAAGTGTCTTGTTCCTTAGCAGTTTCTAATCTAATACCAAAAGGAATTTCTAGTTTTTAAATCTTGTGTTCTGTTATTTTCTTTCTCTCTCTCTCTTTTTTTTTTTTTCTTTTTGAGACAGGGTCTTGCTACATAGTTCAGGTTTGCCTTGAGCTCACTATGTAGCCCAGGCTGGCCTCAAACTCATGGTGATCTTCCTGCCTTAGTCTCCTGAGTGCGGGGTTACAGGGTGAGCCACCACACTTGGATGCCTTTGATATTTTCATCAAGTCGTCCCTCTTAACTCTACTCCCTTCCCCTACCCATTCATCAGGTTAACAAGATTAGTATGAAACTTTACCACCCAAGTGTAAAGTGAGATCGGAGTCAAAAGTCAGGTTTCCTTGGCTGACACTCTTAACCATCCAGTGCTTTTTTCTCTTCTACCTGGGGTCCACTTCCCCAAAATAAGGAAGTTGAGTAAAATGCAGTGACTCTTGGTTATGGAAAGTACGTGAGGTTCACAGATACTAAAAGCAGACTCTTCGATTATATGCAGTGTAGTTGTCCCAGTTCTGCCTCTAAGCTAGGTGTCACATGGACTGCAACGCTGCTGCTAACTGCTCTGGGGGATCTTGGCCTGTGCTGCGCACCTCCAGCACATTTGCAGGCCCTTCCCGTACCACGCTGGAGCTCTTGAGCTTCACAAGCTGCCGGACACAAATAGGGAAGAAGAAATGCATTCTCCTTGTGTTCTACTCTGTTTCTTTTTCTTTTCTTTTCTCTTTTTTTTTTCCTTTGTATTTTAGGACAGGGTCTTCAGGGTCTCGCTGCTTAGATTGGAATCGTAGTGATCCCCCTGTTTATAGCCTCCCAAGTGCTGGGATTACAGTCTCAATCGCTGGCTCAGCACACCCGGGGGCGGCCGGCACAGCTGGCTGGGGCAGGATCGCGGCCCTGCACCTGCCTAAGCAGGTGCTTTAATCCGCTGAGCTATTTGGCTGGCCCTCTGTTTCCATGCGTAGTGTAATGATGGACCAGAGCTCTGCAGCAGGCTGCCTGGATTCAGATCCCATCTCTGTTGCTTACTAGCTGTGTGATCTTGATAAGCTATTAATTTTCTCTGCTCTCATCTTCTTCCATACAATGGACATGAATAATAGTGCATGACCTCATGGGTTTATTGTAAGGATTAAATTAATTTTTAATATATATGTATTTGTCTATCTCTTGCTTAGACTAATGCTGACACATAGTGTGATGTGTACATTTTTTTCTTTTTGTATTTTTTTAGGGAAGGGTCTACAGGGTGTTCAGACTCATAGTGATTCTCCTGTTTACATCCTCCCAAGTGCTGGGATTACAGGCGCAGGCCACCATGCCCAGTCTCAATCACCCTCTCAGCATGCCCTGGGGGTGGGGCCAGCAGGGCAGGCCCAGGGATCAAACCCCCAGCCCCTGAACCTGCTTTCAGGTGCTTTAATCCGCTGAGCTATTTGGCCAGCCCTGTGATGTGTACCTTAACAATAATATTGTTACCAAAAAATGGTGTTCAAG